GGAAGCCATGAGCATGGCATGTGCAGTATAATCATTTTTGTCCTTTAAATAATTAATCCGCATATGATATCACCATACTTACTAGTGAAATTCATGGAATTATTTTCTCATTACAATATTAACAGTAAGGAAATGCTTTGCTTTGTGCACTTCTCAGTTGTGTTACGTCAAACAACGATGGATTCTTGGGAGCAAAATACATTACAATGAATCAATAACACTGGTTCAACTTAATCCCGCTTCTGCTTTTAGGCCTCAGTTAAAAAAGTAAAGAGTGTTTCTTCTCAGATATATCATAAGACTTTTACATGCCATATCTGTAAAGATCAGGGAGGTCAAAGACAGAGGTAGATTGGTGCACTGCCACCGCATCACCAACGAGGCAATTATTCATCTGAAAATTACTGTTTGAAGGACTAGTAAAACAACCTTATTCCAGGAACTATTCCTGAAAGAAACTGCTTCTCAGCGTGGACAATGTATCAGAATCTGGCCCCCAGCCTCTCCTGTGCAGCCTCTCAAGTGTACCTCATGATTCTCCTTGGCAAACAGCACTATGAAAGTAACAGCAGAGCTGTGCAAATGCTCTCTCTTTAACTTCGTATTCTGCAGCCTGGCTTGGTTCAGGTTCATAAAAGCAACACTTGTGTGTAGATCAGGGGTCTGCTCTACATGGTAAGCAAGCAATAACACCTCTCTTCAACGTTACCCCTAGTTAGCATGTAAAATTCAAACAGGGAATTCACCAGCTTGCTAGACGTTACTCCAATGAAAGCATTTTTGATACAGAGTATATTTTAAATCTCAAGTATAAACATGCTGTTCAAGTGATAAACGCATTACTTGAAAAAAGATATTGCTAGATAGCTAAGAGACAGCTTGACAGAGAATTGTTCCTGCACTTGCTTCTGAATCAAGCACTAGATTCAGCAAGCTCAAGGTACCATTTCTCCAAATTTAATTTACTTCCATTTGCTAAAAACAGTATGTAAAATTCTAAGAGCAAAAACGAAGGAAAAATATGTTAAGATCTAAAGAAAGCAAGAAAAAGTTAAAAAGTACAAATATTTCTTGGCATAACATCAATGTACTTCACTTGAATTTGATGGGTAAAGAATGTGGGAGAAAATGAAGTCGGAGAAAATGAAGTCAGAGAAAAGTGGAAAGATACAAAATTATACTCATTCAATTTTTACAGTTGCAAACTACAAAGCACAGCAACCACTGCTTCTTTTCCATCAAAATGTTTCTTGAACAAAAGTTACAGTGTGTTCAAATAAAAGTATAAGCGTGCACGCATTAGGATAAGTGAATGCTCTTCACGAGATCCAAAGCTTGAACCAAATTAAGGTGGTGTAAAGTCCCCCCTTGATTAAGATGAAAACTAAATCAGAACCTAACTGAAGTTCTATATTTGTACTAAATTTATTTGTATTTTAGAAAAAAAATCCTAATGTAGTACCTTCGCAGAAAATACTAGTTTGATTCTCTACATGCTTCATAATTTATATGTTTTTAAATAGCTATATTTTGCTTTTCAAGACGTTCTGTAGTCGAGTGCTAGATTTCTAATTGAGAGGTTACGTCAGGAAAGCAGCTTTTGTTTGGGGGGTTTTTCCGATCACAAGACATCTCTTCTTGGCAGTGAAAATATGGCACAGCCAGTAAAACTATAATGAAAGATTTTTTTTCCAATTCCAGTAGGAACTGGATTCCAGTCATCAAAATGCATCACATGCATGTTTAACAGACATGAAATATTACCATGGAAGGCTGAAGGTGGCACTTTACAACTAGACACTATCTACAGACTCAGTTATGCTGAAGCTTCAAAAATTGCAGGTTTTTAAAAACTGCACATACAGCAGTCTTACTATAATTCAGGTTCTTTCACTCCTGCAGCAAATGTCCTTTCATTTCATCCTTTAGCCACAAACAAGGCACTTCTCTTACATCAAAAATCTGTATGTCTTTAGTCACATTATTCTGTAAACCTGATAAAACCTGTTTATGCAGGGAAAAAAAAATTAAATCACTCATCTACAATTTCCACCAAAACCTGTTTTTCCCCCCCTTCCCTGTTTTTAAAGGAATCAGAAACACAGCACCAGCAGCATCACAGCACGATGTCAATCAAAAACCAGCTGAAAAGCATGACTAAGTGGTTCAAGCAGAGGGCTTTCCGACCTTTACCTGCTGCACTGACATTTGGTTGGGATCTCTGCCATATACACTACTGTGCAACACAGAGAACAGAAACTCTTTTTTATAATCATTAGAGGCAATTTTATATGAACAATGGTAACCCAAGGGAATCATTTATCACCTCCCTCCTTCCAAGTTTAACTGTCCCCACGAAGGGTGTTAACACAGGCACCTATTATTTTCAAGTTACGTTTGGTAACATGCACGACTGGCCTGAATAAGTACATACGCTTACAAGAGGGAAGTGAGTAGAAAGTAAAGTTAAGCAGGAAGATGTATCTTAGTAGGAGGTAATTCATACAAAACAAAAAAGTAAGTAGGGTAACCCATGCAGCTAGACTGGCAGTACCACCTCCTATTTGCATGATACTCTGTCTTCATAATGTCATCGTAACAAAAA